AGAATAACATTTTCGATACTGCAAGCGATTTTATGTGTAGACAAAATTGTCGATTGTCGGATAGTTATAAGTTACTGAATCGACCTACTGACCTATACTCCCTTTTTGTTTTAATTTTTTTTCTTAATTTTCATAATAATTTAATTACACAATTTTTTTTTGAAACTACAATTTATTTTTGTCAAATCCTAAAACTAAAAAAAATTCCCCTTTAAAATGCATTTTATTTCATCTCAATCGGATAATTTTTAACAAAGTTACAGCGATTTCCGCAATTGCCTACATAATGCATGCAACGGCGTTTAATTGCATTTTCCCATCTCTGGCTCTCCTATTCTTCTCTCTCGAGCAGGCGGCCTCTTTGATATTATGCAATGTTCCTATTTTTCTCAATATTCCATAATATTTTTTACGCCAAATTTATAAATAGGTTTTGAATCTGAAATTAGAAAAATTTCCCATTAAAATGCATTTTATTTCATCTCAATCGGATATTTTTTAACAAAGTTACAGCGATTTCCGCAATTGCCTACATAATGCATGCAACGGCGTTTAATTGCATTTTCCCATCCCTGGCTCGCCTATTCTTCTCTCTGTGGCTCTCTCTCTCTCTTCATTTGTAATTGGAGTTTCTCACTCCCTATAGGAGTTTATTGTGTGAGCAGGCGGCCTCTTTGAAGTTATGCATTGTACCTATTTTTTCTCAATGTTCATAAATATTTTTTACGCCAAATAAAAAAAAAAATATTTATTCGATCGATTAAATTTGAAACTAGAAAAATTCTCCTTCAAAATGCATTTTATTACATCTCAATCGGATAATTTTTAACAAAGTTACAGAGATTTCCGCAATTGTCTACATAAATCAACGGCATTGAATTGCATTTTCCCATCCCTGGCTCGCCTATTCCCCTCTCAGTGTCAATTGCCTACGGATCGCTCTCTTCATTTGTAATTGAAGTTTCTCACACCCCTATAGGAGTTTATTATACGAGCAGGCGGCCTCTTTGAAATTAAGCATGGTCGCCATATATTTTAAAACTCCCTTCTCCTCTATGGGCCTTCTAATTTAAAAATGTCACTTTCTAATGCATTTTTCTATAAATGACCAACACCAACAATAAGGGTTTATTTTTAACGCCACACCATACCACACCACCCACCTACACACACACTTACGTTTGTAACATATGGCATCATTAAAGAATTTTAAGTACTTATCTCCCTTTTGAAATATAACCCCATATTATCTTTGTTTTGAAGAGTATCACAGTAGTAGTCCTCTCTCTCTCTCTCTTGTATTATCACAGTTATGCAAAGAGATAATTAAATGTGACAAATCTCCCAACAAATGGCAAAGATAACAACACAAACACATCATTTCCACGACAGAGGGGTCTACGATCCGAAACGACCCGAGTCTTACTCGGCCAACTCGGCCCGTTGTGTAAAAGCAATAGGGCTGCTACAACAACAAACACATTGCTTGCTGCTGTCTGTTTGCTTGCATGGCATATGCAAACATGCATGCATGCCTGCCTGTTTGCTTTTCTATGCAAAGTAATGTGGGGAGAGAGAGTGTTGGAGTGCATTGTGAGTGGGAGAGTGGGCATGCACGCATGCAATCACAGTTATTCAAACATGCATTGATGGAACATTGAAATGTGATAGTGTGTAAGACGACTGTGTGTTATCAACGGTATTGATCATCGGGGAGGAGTTGATTAAACATGCTTGTCTTTGATAAGCCCTGGGATTAGTTACTTATTGACAAATAGTTTATTTTATTTGAAATAAAATATATACTTAATAGAATTTTTTTGAAAAAAAAAAATTGGAGCAGATGTCACTGCCTGCCGCCGCCTGGCCACTACAAATAGAACCACCTTTATGTTTGCCGTGCCTTATGTGACAGCTGTTATTCTTTGTTTTTGACTAGGTATCAATTGTAATAAAGAGAAATATGTAGCATACTTTTGTTGTAGTTAGTGTGTATATGTATGTGTCCGTGTGCACGAGTGTGCTGTACGGCTAAAGTAGCCCCGTTACAAAAGTACCTACAAGAAATTACTACGTAAATAATTTCATACACGTTTTGTTATTGTTATTGGTGTTGCTGCTTTCTTTTGTTGCTTTTCATTTTGTGGATAGCGTACATAAAAAGTAATTGAAAAAAAATATGTTGTTTGGTTGGCCTGGCACACATAAAAATACGAAGAATGGATGAATGAAGAAGAGAAAGACAGATGAGTAAATAAATAAGTGAATAAATGAATGAATGTGAATGTGGAATGTATGGAGATAGGTAGGAGGAGGTGGGTATGCATGACACTCTATCGATAGTCAGTCTTGTCTAGGTCTGTCAATATGGGGAAGTTTGAAACAAAAGGGAAAAAAATAATTATCAGTGTCAGTTGTAGTTGCAGCCAAAGAGTCGGGCACGCGCCACAAGTTGGATTTACAATAATAACAACAACATCATAACAAGTAAACCAGAAACGAGTATTTATGTTGTTATTATTTTATAAATAGACACAAGTTTATAATCAACATTTTTTTTCATTTTACTCTCGACAAACAACATTTCTCTTGCTCCCCCTAACTTTCCACCTACCTCACAGCTGGTCATCATTACATATTTCCTAGATGTCGTTGTTGTTATTTTGGGGTGGAGTTGTTTTTTTTTTTATACGACGTCGTCTATATTTACATGTGTTGTGTGTCGTAGGTATATAATAATTATTTTTATTATTTTATACCCTTTTGTAACGCCTGGAAAATTTTGTTATTTATTTATTATTAATCGGAAATCATTTTCAATATGGTAAATCAATCATAAATGTTAGGTTATATTTTCTTGTTGTTCTTCTTCTTTAAAATATTTTTTTTTATTTACATCGGCTTGTCATGGCATGCTAGAGGGGGGAAATAATAAATTCTTGAATTTTATTTCTCTTCAGCTGAAATTATTATTTCCTGTTTGTTTATTTTTATGGCGGGGGGAAATGTAATTTCTAAGTTTTCTTTTTCTGAAATTTAATAAGAAATTTCCCGAGGTGTCACTAAATAAAGGCCGAGGGGGCCAAAAACTTTTTCACAAATTCGAAGAAAAACAAAAAAACAAAATAAAAAATACAATAAAATAAGTCGTCTGAAAAATATATTTTTATATAAATGATTTTTTTATTATTAAAAAAAAATAATAATTAATAAAATATAAAAATTAAAAAAGGAAAAATTAAAAAATTCTAGATCGTTTTAATATTTACCAAAATTAGTTTTTGTTTAAATATTGAGTATTATAGTCTCTTAACAAAAAGAATGCAACAAGAGACTTAACATTTTTGTTCAAAAAATTTAAAAAATAAAAATATTGAAAAAATATATTTTTTGGTAATGAAAAAAAAAAAAAATATTGGAAAAATTTGTGAGTAATTGAGATGAACAAAATTGAATTGTGAATTTTTTGAAAAAATCCGTATTAACCAAATTTTGAAGTGAAGTATAAAAAATCATCGACATAAAAAATTGCAACAATTTTTATCAAAAAAATTAAAAATTTTCATTTCTCAAAATTGTTATAAATTTACAAAAAATTCAAAATTTTGAACTGAAATGGAATAAAAAATATCAACTATTTACATATCAACTATACATTATACAATAATATTAATTTATAATTTAAAAAATTATGAATTGTTTATTTTTTAACATTAACAAAAAATATATTTTTTGAAAAATATTGAGATTTTTTTTAATTAAAAAAAATAAAATTAAAAAAAAAATAAAATTAAAAAAAATATAAAATTAAAAAAAAAATAAAATTAAAAAACCCACGCCTAAAATAATAAAATTAAAAAAAATAATATTAAAAAAAATAAAATTAAATTAAAAAAAAAATAAAATTAAAATAAAAAATAAAATTAAAAAAATTAAAATTATAAAAAAAGGGAAACAAAACTTAACATTTTGGATCAAACAATTTTGAAAATCGTCTTGAAAAATTATATTGTTATTAATTACATTTTTTTATTTGTTATTTTTTTGGAAATTTCTAAAATATCCAAATTTTGAAGTTTTTAAGAGATTTTAAATAAATTTATTTTTTTAATCTTATTTCCGATTTATTGGTTTAAAAAAAAAAACACAAAAAATAATTTTATAAGGTCAAATAAAATTTTATTAAAAATCAGGATATTTTTTTTTTTAATTCTATGAAAAAAAAAATTTTAAAACAATGAAGTAATTGAAAATATGTATTTTTTTATAAATCCATAAATATTGTCGTCGTTGCTAGAAAAAAAACTGACAAGTTTGACGCTCCGTTGTTGTTGTAGCTGGAAAATTTTTTTAATTTTTTTTTCAATTTGAATTACCTATTTTACTTTTGTACGAATAAATTCTCTTAAAGCCTATCAGCCCAAATATCCTAATTTTTAATTTATTTCTTACCTTTTTTCCAGATAACTCTCCTGACATTTTGAACGTGACCAATAATTAGAAAATACTGCACAACAACAGCATAAATGTCACCATTAAGGATTTATGTTTTTGGAAACAATGGTTTCAACCACTTTGTGCCGTTCACTGTACAACAAAAACAACAACAAGGCAAATAACGAAATGAAAGCAAAAGTAGAATTTATTTAATCGCCAAATAATAAATTTACAAAGAAACAAACACACACCACATACATACAGATGCAACAACAAAAGAAAACATATCACAACAATTTTCCAGTAGTAGTGTAACAAATATTCGCAGCAAGCAAAAAAAGGAGGACATTTTAAACGACGACGACGATAATAAGCAGCGTATCTTCCCATATTAAAAAATTTATTTTGCAAAATAAAAACAGCAACAACAAATGTAATTGTTTCTTCAAATCCCAACAACAACAAGAAATTACGAAGAAAAAAGTCATCATCATAGCAAAATCCAAAGCAACATAAACTAGCTAAGCAAGAAGATAGCGATACGACGGCCTGAACTATTGCTGCTACAGCCCCTGCCTCTATATATACATATAATAACAACTAATGGATCCATATCATCATATACGTCAACATGTAAGTAGGAAAACAACAACAACTTTTACAAATTCACAATTTGTCGTTTATTCAAACCAGTATTTCTTTTTTTCCTGCTCAACCTTCTTTCACTATTACTTTTTGAATATCCATTATTTACCACAGTTGACTTCAGTTAATTTCAATTAGGTAGACAATTATCACTTAATTGATAATAAATTAATGAACTGAGGTCATTTTGCTAGGTTTTCTACCACAAGAGAGGTGTTTACGACATTTACGACACGTACGCTTTCCACAAAAAATTATTTTATTTGATCAACTACGTAATTTTTCATAGTTATTTCAATGTTGGAGATCATTTTTTTTAAGTTTACAACCTTTAAAAAGTAGTGTATGAGGTTTACGACGTTTTTGACAATACAGAAATTTTCGCATTTTTCGCTTTTTATAGCTCAATTTGAAATAATACATCGTTCCAAGGGTTTATTCCCATTGAATAAAGGTTTACAACCACAAAGGAGGTTATTACGACATTTACGACAAGTACACTTTTTATAAAAACACAATTTATTTAAACAAATATGTAATTTTTGAACTCTATTTTATTATTGGAGACTATTTTCAAAGTTTACAACCTTTAAAAATTAGTGTACGAGGTTTTCGACATTTTTGACAATACAAAATATTTCATATTTTTGCTTTTTTGTAACTCAATTTGAAATCATGCATCGTTTCGAGGGTTTACACCCTTTGAATACTGGTTTACAACCATAAAGGAGGGGTTTTACGACATTTACGACACGTACACCTTTTTTAAAAATTAATATATGTGGTCAAATATGAAAATTTTCAAAGTTATTTTAATATTGGAGATCATTTTTAAAGTTTACAACCTTTAAAAAGTAATGTATGAAGTTTTCGACATTTTCGAAAATACAAAAAATTTCACATTTTTGACTTTTTGTAGCTCAATTTGAAATAATGCATCGTTTAAAGGGTTTACACCCATTGAATACAGGTTTACAACCACAAAACTGGAGTATTTTACATTTTTTACATTTGCAACGTAGATGACAATTTTTATATTTCTCATACATTTTCCAAAAAAAAAAAAAATAAAATTTTTGAGGTTTACACCCACTAAAATTGTCTGTACGATGTTTGTGACATTTACGACATCACTGATAAATTCTCTTATGCGGTCACTTACAAAATTTTCGAACCGATTTTACACTTAAGTAAAATTTCAAAGGTTTACAACCAACAAATACATGAATGCGACGTTTACGACACTCGTACATTCCGAAATAATAGCTTGTAGTTGATAAATTACTTAACAATTTTAGCATTTCAAAAACATTTTCCAAAGAAAAGTAGCATTTTTGAGGTTTACACCCATTATAGCTGTGTATACGACGTTTGCGACATTTACGAAACCATTGATAATTTCGATTATGTAGTCACTCATAACATTTTCGCACTTATTTCACACTTAAAAACAATTTCAGAGGCTTACAACCAACAAATACATGAGTACGACATTTACGACATTTGTACTTTATTCATGCATTATCATGTAATTTGTCAATTTTGACATTATTCGTAACTATTTGTAAGTTGGATACTATTTTCAGAATTTACAACAATAAAAATTGAGTATGTTACATTTTTGACATTTGCGACATAAATGAAAATATTTATTACGGGACAATTATTTTCTAAAATATTTTCCAAAGAAAATTACTTTTTTTGAGGTTTACACCCACTAAAAGCGCCTTCACGACGTTTGCGACATTTACGACATTCTCGATAATTTTGATTACATGTTCAGTTATGATATTTAAGGACTTATTTTACACTTAAGACCAATTTTAGAGGTTTACAACCACCAAATACATGAATACGACGTTTACGATATTTTTACATTCTTGGATAATTCCATGTAATTTATCATAAACGTCGTTATTTACAATTATTTCCACGTTAGAAAATATTTTGAGAATTTACTACCATCATTTCAGGGTTTACACCCATTAAAATTGTGAATGTGACCTGTTTGACATTTACAATAATTGACATACCATCACTAATTAATTAATTTTTGATTTCATATTAAAATTACGATTTTTTAAGTTTACAACCAATAAAAAAACTCTTTGACATTTTTTTACATTTTCGACATTTACACCAAATGACATACCATCACTGATTGTTTAATTGTACTACATTGGGTGAATATTAGAAGTGATTTTTGAAGTTTACACCCAACATTTAATAATTTACACCCAATAAAATCATGCATGTGACATTTTTGACATCGACACTATACCATACCATCACTGATTAATGTATATTTAAGTTTGAGAGACTTTGATAAGTTTACAACCAACGCCCATTAAAATCATGCAGGTGACATTTTTGACATTTACACCAAATGACATACCATCACTGATTATTTTAATATTTTACATTAGACGAATATTAGAAGTGATTTTTCAAGTTTACACCCATAATTTTGTAGTTTACACCCATTAAAATCATGCATGTAACATTTTTGACATCGACTCCATATGACATACCATCTCTGATTATTTATTTTTTATTTATATTTAAGTTTGAGAGATTTTTTAAGTTTACAACCAACAAAAAACTATTTGACATTTTTTACATTTACACCAAATGACATACCCGCACTTTATATTGTATTTATGACATTATTTGGCGCTTAGGAATGATTTAGGATATTTACAACCATTATTTTACAGTTTTCTCCTATTAAAAACATTTCTACGACATTATTTTACATGTTTGCGACAAAAAGTACCAAACTTAAAATTTCATTTGGACGCAAAATGTACTTTTTTTATAATTTAATTCCTAAACTGTCGATTTTTTAGTTTACACCCATTTAATACAGGTTTACAACATTTTTTTACATTTACACCCAAAAGTGTACCAATGCGAAAATGTTCTTTTGTGCGCCAAAATGTACTTTTTATTTAATTTTAATCCATAAATGTTGATTTTTTAGTTTACACCTTTGAAATTCATGTTTACGACAGTTTTTACACCCATGTTTAATACGTTTTCTACATATTTACGACGTTTTAGATATTTACACCCAACAAATTTTTCCATTTTATTAATTTTCAATTTGATATTTTTTTAAGTCCGAAACAAAGTTTTTCAATGAAAATCCGCTCAAAGTCCCCTATTTTGTACCTATTACCTTTATTTAGCCCTTGCTGTATATTTTTTGTTTTCCTCATTAATTGTCAACATGTTTTCAACATGTTAATGGTCCCAAAACAATTTTTTTAATGCAAATCCGAGAAAAATCCATATTTTTGTACCTTTTACCTTTATTTGGCGCTTACTGTAGTAAATTCGCTCAAAAATCCCTCTTTTGTACCTTTCACCTTTATTTGATACTTACTGTATATTTAGTTTCCATCATTTATTGTCAATTTATGACATTCTAACATTTTTTTAATAGTCCGAAACCATTTTTAATGAAAATCTGAAAAATATACCTCTTTTTAGAACTCTTTACCTTTTTTGACACTTACTGTATTTTTCGTTTCCTACCTTTTTTTGTCAATTTATAATTTTTTTAAATTTTTTTAATAGCTCGAAACCACTTCTTTATTAAAATCCGAGAAAAAATCATTTTTTTAGCATCATTTACCTTTATTTGGAGCCCACTGTATATACTAGTTTCCCTTGGCCATCACCAGATGTACTGGTGGTGTAATGTTTGGATTGAATTTCACACATTTCTCTCTGGTATTTTATTATTATTGTTGCTGTTATTTTCTTTCATGGCTGTCATGCCATCCATTCATCCAACCATTCATTGTTAAGGGGAAATGAACAAAAAAACAATAACAAAAGAATGCTAGTCGGAATTACACATGTACTTCGCTTTTCGCTTTATTGCAACTACACAACACGTATTAAACAGACGTATTATTTCTGTTACATACATACATATATTTTTACATTTTTTACATACATACATTTGTTACACACTTACATTTTTGTTGTTGTAAATATTAATTTAATTTCCTCTCTTTTATTTTTCGTTTTTTCTTGCATATTTTTCTTCTTCTTCCTTTCAATTAAATACGATGTTGGTGACGATGATGACGACGACGCCGACGCCGTTGATTTGCTAATGACGACAATGCCTGCCGCCGTTACCCACCCACTTGCTGCTGCTGCTGCTCGTTTGTTCGTGTATTTTTTTCGGTTGTCCGTTCATGTTTGCCGTTGTGGTTTTGTTTATGCTGTTATAATTGTGTTGGTGTTGCTGCTGTTGTTGCTATTGCTGTTACTGTTACAACAACAGTATCAACCACCCTCTAGGCCAGAATTGCATCAAAAATGCAATCGTGGTTCACATTCAAGTGATACAAGTTCAGCATACAGTGGCAGTGATACAATGGCATCCGTTTACGGTTCATCACTGGATGGTGAGGAGATTGATTTCTCCGGTTTGGTGGAATCCACCGTGGATTCTGATGAAGAAGATTTGGCCGAATCTATGGACGTAAGTATATATATTTATATTTCTATTACAATATATTAAAAATAAGATATTTCTGTTATAATCCAAGAGAGAGAATGATCTTTGAGAGAGAGAAGGAGGGAATTATCAAAGAGTGTTTAACCGTTAATGAGAAATAATATCATTGTTGTTTACCTTTTATTATTAGACACGAACATGAACACTCCAACTACTATGTGGGTGAGATAAAGAGAAAGAGGGAGAGAGAGAGGGAGGGAATTATTAAAGAGTGTTTAACCGTTAATGAGAATTAATATCATGATTGTTTACCTTTTTATTAGACACGAACATGAACAATCCATAATATGTGGGGAGATAGTGAGAGAGAGAGGGAGGAAGTGGGTTGCTGTGTGTGACCGGAAGAGAGTGTGGAAAAGACAGCTGTTGTGTTCTGTTTTGTTTTGGCAATGCAAATAAATAGATGACATGTTTAAATTACGCTGGAGGTCACAATTTTTGAGCTAGAGCTTTGAAATTTGGCACAGATATTTATACCATCCCTAGGGATAATGGTATCAAATATGGGCCATATGGAATATTAAATATAAGATATATAGAATGTTAAAAATAATTTTTTAGGAGAGAGAGAGAATTTTGGAGAATGAAAAGAAAGTCAAAGAGGGTGATGAAATCACAATAGATCTTGCAATATTTAAGATCAGTGTTGAACAGAACTAAATTAAGATTAAATATTTGAGAGCGTAACTAAGAGATCGTCATCAAAAATGGCTGACGAAAATAGAGAAAAAGAGAAAACGTGTTTAGCCATCACCGCTATCGTACTATTTTGTGCATTGGTGTCAAGATAGAACTATGAAAATTTACACATACATTGCTACTAATCTTTGGATGTTTGGTATTGAAAATGGAATGTATCGGCCAACGTTTTGGCATTGAGGCATATAATAATAAACTCAAATATTCGGAATTTTGGAGATATTGGGTTCGGTTTTTTAGCGAATTGACTCTGTTTTGATATTTCGGGTTGTCATTGTGTAGCAAGTCTTTATGCACAAATTTTGCCCAACTTTTAGGGTAGCCTCCATTGAAAGGTACCCTCCGAATTTGGGCATTTACGGGAGTTTGGGTACGGTTTCAAGTGAATTGGGTGTAATTTAGTATTTTGCGTTCTCTTTGGGAAAAACATATTCTTAACAAAATCTATCAACTTTGACAAAAATTTCGGGGTATATCCTATATAATGGTACCCGTAAATATTCAGCCTTTTTGTGATTTAGGCCTCGTTTTCGACCAAATTGGCTATAATATGATATTTTGTTCTCTTATTAAGTGTCAAATTTTGTCCACCAAAAATTATCAATTACGCTCCACGTTTTGGTGTAGTCCCCATGGTAGAGTATACCGACAATTTTGGGTATTTTAAGGATTTTTAATCACGTATTTCAGCCGAATTGTCCTAGAATTTTATATTTTGGATTCCTATGGGTGTCAAATTTTTCTACCATACTGTTACCATGATAAGGCCTGCAAGTAGAAGTGTCGATCTATTTTTTTTTTAAATTTAATTTTCATCTCATGATGGAGGAGGGTACCACCTTGCCGGACTTAACTTTTTTGTTAATTGCTTTTTTTCAAATATTTGCAAATGAAAAAAAAATTTTATTTATGAATTTTTTAACCCGCCTAACGGAGATTTTTTTATTATAAAAAAAACGAAATTATCACACACTTTTCCAAAATTGCATATTTGGATATGTTAGAATAAGGAATTGACTCGTTTGCTTAAAAGGCAAAAGAACACTGTGTGGGGGGTTTTGTTGAAATACCAAAAGAAATTGAAAAACAAATTTGGAATTTCTCTAAATTATTCTAGAATTAATATAACAATAAATTAAGTGTGAAATTAAAAAAATATATATTTTTTTGAGTTAAAATTATTCTTTAAGGACCATCAAAAGGCGTGGATTTTTTAAAAATATAAAAAAAAAATTTGGTAACCCTCAAAGGCGTGGAATTTTAAAAATATTTTTTTGGTAACCATCAAAGGCGTGGATATTTTAAAAACTATTTTTTGGTAACTATCAAAGGCGTGGATTTTTTAAAAATATTTTTTAGGTCGATCAATAGGCGTGGATTTTTTAAAAATATTTTTTTAGGTCGATCAATAGGCGTGGATTTTTTAAAAATATTTTTTTAGGGCTCTATAAGAGATGGGGATTTTTTAAAAATATTTTTTAAGGTCGATCAATAGGCGTGGATTTTTTAATTGAAATTGAAAAACAAATTTGGAATTTCTCTAAATTATTCTAGAATTAATATAACAATAAATTAAGTGTGAAATTAAAAAAATATATATTTTTTTGAGTTAAAATTATTCTTTAAGGACCATCAAAAGGCGTGGATTTTTTAAAAATATAAAAAAAAAATTTGGTAACCCTCAAAGGCGTGGAATTTTAAAAATATTTTTTTGGTAACCATCAAAGGCGTGGATATTTTAAAAACTATTTTTTGGTAACTATCAAAGGCGTGGATTTTTTAAAAATATTTTTTAGGTCGATCAATAGGCGTGGATTTTTTAAAAATATTTTTTTAGGTCGATCAATAGGCGTGGATTTTTTAAAAATATTTTTTTAGGTCGATCAATAGGCGTGGATTTTTTAAAAATATTTTTTAGGTCGATCAATAGGCGTGGATTTTTTAAAAATATTTTTTAAGGTCGATCAATAGGCGTGGATTTTTTAAAAATATTTTTTTTGGTAACCATCAAAGGCGCGGATTTTTTAAAAATATTTTTTAAGGTCGATCAATATTGTATGATTAAGTTTTGATGTGTTTGCAGCTTCAATAAAACGAAAGACTTCTTTACTGGTTGAGAACTTTATTACGAGTGACAACTTCTTTCTTACACACTACGCATGAAATCTTAATACTACAACAACTATGTACAAATAGTGTGCATCGCACTCTGCGATCATGCTGTAATTACTCAACATGTGTGTTGTGTGTTGTACGATCGTATCGTGGAGATTCAATAATTCCAACACTCCTCCTCAACACACATACACACATGCCCAAACAAAACTCAACCATTTCTTTATTTATTGTAAACACATTACAAAAATTTCAAAATATAATACACACAGTATTTAAATACTAAATTTTAAGATTAATAATTCATGCTCCTCCTGCATGCTGTCCCCTCACAAGGGATCGACAATAGTTGACCTAACTGTTCTTGTTTGTCTTCTTCTAAACTTATTCAGCTTATTCATTTCATCAGCATTTCGTTTAAGAGGGCTCTCCCCATTCTGGTGACCGTAACGGCACCTCTCTGAATTTGTTTTTGTTTTCATAAGAAACACATTCTTTTTCGGCTCGCTGAACAAAAACAAATTTCCAACCCTTCTAGCGGTCAGCACAACTCTTCGCTGGTTGTCTATTATCTGCGCACATTTTGCTCCAAATTTAACTTCATGTTTTGCCGCTACTCTGCCTACCGATATAAAATTACACTGCAGGTTAGGCACAAACAACACATCATTGAGCTCGATGTCCCCTTCATTTATGAGCACTCTCCCCTTCCCTTTTGCATGTACCGTTTTATTGCTTGCTAGGGAGATCTCTTCACTGTGGTGCTGAAACTGCGTAAACAAATTACGGTCGCTACATAAATGCGAAGAAGCACCGCTATCCAAACACCAAATGTTCTTGTTTGTGTTGTTGTTGTCATTCTTGCTTATGACTGTGTACGCTTGCTCATTGCCCTTTTTCGCTGCTTTGCATTGCACTGCGTAATGGCCTCTGTCGCCGCAATTGTAACATCTAAAATTTCGTGTGTGCGTTCTATTTTCGTTTGCACCCCATCTGTTTTTGCGGCTACCTGCGTTGTTGTTGCTAAATCTTTGCTTGTGCGCATTGCACACTGTACCCTTGTTGTTGTTGCTATTCATTGTGCGTTGAGCCATAAACGCCTGATTGGAATACACATCGTTTATATTTGCTAATGATGATTTCCTCCTCTCGCTCTCCTCGGACAATTTCACCTTTAGAGCACACAGCTTAGGTAAATCGTCCCGCGATTCCAATGCAACCACTAAATTTTCGAAGCTATTTGGCAAACTGGCGAGGATCAATATAACTAACAGCTCTTCGCCCAACTCGATACCTGTGTCAGCCAACTTGTCTACGACGGACGTAAACTCGGACAGGTATTGTTGAATTCCTTCGCCTTCCCCCATTCTCATATTGAGCAGCCTCTTAAATAGTGACACCTTCCTCACTGGGCCTTTTGGTCGATGTACCTCACTCAGACTGTTCCATGCTTCCCTTGCCGACTTACAGCTCTTTATGTAAGAAAGCTGGACAGGAGTGACGCTCAATATGATCGTTGCCATCGCCTTCTGATCTCGCATTTTCCCTGTTGCAGTTTTATCTGGAGTCTCCTCCTCGGAGATCACGTCCCACAGATCTTGGTGGACTAGTACTGCCTTCATCTGCAAACACCATGACTCGTAGTTATTCTCCTCTAACTTTTCAATCGTATACATTGAAGACATTTTGCTTGTTTTGCTTTCGACACACGAAATAACTGACACACAGTTAACTAACAAAATGTTCCATAAACTTCAATGTTTCTCACTGGACACTCTCAATCACACAGATTGATATTAGCTATTTCTCAACTTTGCCTTTCCGTTTTCCAAATGCGATGATCCTCTGACTTTCCTTGTCACAACTCAATTTCCATTAATTTTCAATTCAGTTTCCTAAGAGTTGTCCGGGGTACACTTTGCTTAATTTTACGTTGTCCAATACTATTATTTCCAATTCCAATTATCCTTATCGTTGTCCTTATTCTGATGCACTTTTAATTTCACCGTCGAGTGTCCTGGGCCCATAACCTATTGTAGGAATAACTTTTTATGCGTGTTGGAGCTTCAATAAAACGAAAGACTTCTTTACTGGTTGAGAACTTTATTACGAGTGACAACTTCTTTCTTACACACTACGCATGAAATCTT